TGGGGGAATCAAAACTGTTAAGATGTCACTTTTTGCCAAATTGATTTTAAGGATCAATGCAGTGCAATGATTGTGCTTACAATAAAGTGTCACTAGGATTTTTTATGAATATGATAAGCAAATTCTAAAAATAAAGGGACATACAAAAGGCGTAGAAGGGTCAATCACTCCTAAAAAAGAAAAACCACTTAGGAAGACTTGCTTTACTCAATATCAGAGCTATCATAAAGCTACAGTAATTAAGACAGGAGATACAGCTCAATGGAACAGCACAGTTCAGCGATGGACCTATGCATATACGGACATTTGATGTAGTGCAGTGGTGAGAAAACAAGGGCTGTTAGAACTGTATACCCATATCAGAAGAAAATGAAACTGGTCCCCTACCTCAAGCTATGAACAAAAATCAATTCCAGATATATTAAAGAATTAACTATGTAAGCAAAACAATGAAGCTGTTAGAAATTACAGAGAATATCATTACAATCTCAGGATAGGAAAAGACTTCTTAATCTGGGCAGAAAAACCACTGCCCATAAAGGAAGATACTATTGGACCGGATCACAGTAACATGAAGAACTCTGTTCATCAAAAGACACCATTAAGAAAGTGAAAGGGCAAGTTACGGAATGGGAGAAGATAAGTGTAATACATGTAACTGACAGAAGACTCATCCAAAATGTATAAAATACTCCTACAAATCAATAAGAAAAAGACAATTTCCTAGTAATACAGACAAAAGACTTGAACAGACAATTCACAAAAACACATGAAAAGGTGCTCACCCTCATTAGCAATCAGGAAAATGCAAAACAGAACCACAAAGAAATTCCACTACACATCCTCTGGATTGGCAAACATGAAAATGATTTTAAATATCAAATATCGAAGAGGATGGGTAATAACAGGAACTCTCCATACACTGCTGATGGGAGAAAAATAGTGATGCAGTAACTTCTGAAAACTCCTTGGCAATATCTCGCACAGTTGAAGTCACACCTACCCTATCATCCAGCAATTCCCTTCCCAGGAATATACTGAGAGGTGTGTCTGCAAACGTGCACAGGAGACCTACACAGGATTAAATATAGCAGTATCGCTGTAATATACTAGTTTGTATAGTTTGTAACTCAACAGAAATAACCTAAATCTATATCAACTTTAGAATGTATAAATACATTTTGGTATAGTCGTACAATAGAATATCACACAGCCATGGAAATAAATGAGCTCTAGCAACACACAACGTCAGGAACAAATCTCACAAACATGTTGAGGGAAGCCAGGTGCAAAACGCACAATTCCACTTCTGTGAAGTTCAAGACCAGGCAAACCGAAGCTATGGTGTTTAAGAATGCATACCTAGGTAGTAAAATTTTTTTAAAAATTAAGGAAAGTATTTACCACATAAGTCTGGGGACTGTCTTTGCTTGGGAGAGAAGAGTGCTGTTAGAAAGGGGCTTTCAGAGTCAGGGGTTTCCAGACTGCTGCTCTATTCTTTGAACTCATTGATTTTACAGAGGTATTCACTTTATACAGATTCATTAAGCTATACGTGTTTTATGTACTCTATTTTCACAGTAAAAACGAGCATAAAAATGATGTTGGGGAACAAAGTCTCTTCTTCTCCGGGCCTGTTCACATCTTCATGTGATGCCTGAAACTGCATAGGAAGGCAGTTCCGGCAGGAGCCAGCTGAAGGCGAAGTCCAAACACCACAGAGGGTGGAGGAGCTTGGTGACAGACGTCACACAGCCTGGAAGCCCCAACAAAGGCAGGCTGCAGCGGCTGGTTTGGGTCTGCTTTGTTTTGTTTTCCTTGCCAATTTTAATAGAATTACTTCCTTGGCCCTCTAAAGCTGTTCTTTCAATATTCCCTATTATTCAGTTTTCAGATTTACAACTTTCAATCAAGAACCCTACAGGGATGTCAAGTTAGGGGTTCTAGTCAATTCTAGGTTTTTTCCTTAAACGAGAGCTAGACAAACTTTTTAAAAATTGTATGATTATTCTATTTTGCAAGAGGTCCTTATCTTTAGTAAAGCCTTCATCACTGTCTCCTGTTACCATTTTCTCTGGAAAACTATGATCAGATTCAATCATTTTGACATATTGACTGCAACTGCTTTTCTAACCTTCTTTCAAAAAGAAAATTAAATCAACCAATTTTATTAAATGTAACCTCAATTAAACAATTAGCACTTGTTTGTACATGGGGCAGAGCCTTAGTCCTAGCAAAGAAATTTTATGTATGAAGGTTTTTCTTTACTTTCTTCACAAGAGACTTTAAACTTAGGATACCAATTAAAAGGTTTTATATGAAAATTTCAAAAATAGAAGATTCTAGGGCTCATAAAGCTGATTAAAGCCAATTTAAATAACTTGAGAGGTGATCCGAACAGCTTGTGTCTCCACACATTAACCAAATGTTTTTTTCAACGCACATTCATAGAACTCCCAATGAGCCATACCAGGCCTGCAGTTCTATATTGTAAACACAGGTGACTGGTTTATCTCAGTTCACCAGCTTGTCTGTGCTTGCTTATCTTTGCGTGTGTATAAACTGAAAGTGGTTAGTTAAAAACAAATGTGGCATCACAGAGAATGTTTAATTTTCTCTCTCGATATTTTTGTGAGGAAGATTGGCCCTAAGCTAACATCTGTTGCCAATCTTCCTCTTTTTGCTTGAGGCAGATTGTTCCTGAGCTAACATCTGTGCCAGTCTTCCTCTATTTTGTGTGTGGGACGCCGCCACAGCACGGCTTGATGAGCAGTGTGTCGGTCTGAGCCCAAGATCCAAACTGGCAAACCCTAGGCCACGAAAGAGGAGTGTGTGAACTTAACCATTACACCACCGGGCTGGCCCCTAATTTTTTTTTTTTTTTTTGAATGTCACTTAAATGTGGTTTTCAGAAATGTCTATTTAGGAAAGAGTTAAATGTTACAACATTTTTTTTCTTGCCAACAAGAATGTGCATCTCACACTCCAAAAGTTTGCTGACAATAGTCACAGGAAAACAATTCCTTATGATTATCTCTGTCTAGTGTTTTAAAAGATCTCAAAAGTTAAAAGCCTCCCATACAGGGTTTTCCTTATTTCAGGCAAAAATTACATCTGCCACCTCTCTGAGGTTTTATGTCATTAGTATACCAATATTTAGGCTCCTTATTAATAGAGCAAGGAATCTCAATGAAGCCCAATTTGCAGCTGTCACCTGGGAAAGAAAATCCACGGGTCTGAGCTACATGTATAACCACACCAGCTTACCTAACAAACCCATCCTGCCCCTTAACAGAGATTTATTAACAAATGAGTTAGGTCTTGCTCTGGGGATTGTCGGCTTCTAACTGGATGACCCTGCTCAAGAATCCCAGACACTTGCCGACATAAAAGAAGACCTACATGGTCTTCTGAGTTCATTTACAGAAATGTGTTGCTTGAATTTTTAGATTTCTTGAAAGCCACATCAAGGATATCGAGCTTTCTCTCCCGACTTGTCATAGTAACTCTGCTTACTCTGTTCTGCCAACAAGGACAGTTATTTTTCCTCTTTTCAATATGCCTTTCCATTATCACCACCATTGACCTACATCTCGCACATTATGAAAAGATAAGAGGAAGGACAAAAACCACCACACACCACCCAGGCTGTAATATGGAAAACCTGAAACAATGATTCTCACCTAAATTTAGAGCTAGAATTGTCCACCTGACAGACTCTGGTGTTCAGTGAACACACACAGTTGTCACCAGGCTACAAAGGAGGGCAGGCACCACCTGGGAAGCTGAGAGAGGCTTTAAAGGAATGATTCCTGGAACCCTAGTGACTGAATGCATGGCAGCAGATTCCAACATTGGTGGACCCAGGCTCTCAGCAATATACACAGTAATCAAGTGTATGATCATTTTCCTCCCACATCTACCTTCTGATACAGAGGGAAAAGGCCAGAAGGGGGACAACAAAGAAATAAGAGCACCCTCTCTGCAGAGATCACTCATGAGTTGGCTATAAATGGAATTATATTATTCAAATTATATCTTAAACATAATATAAATACAGTGGGGGGTGCTGACACTTAAAAGAAGTCTATAGTACATTCTTTGGTCATATTATTTCCTTTGGAGAAAAATCAGAATTGCTATATATTGAATTCACTGAAAGCAAGTAGTTTGTAGCAGCAAAGGCAAGAAGTCTAATCCACTAACCCACTAATAATTGCATGGTACAGAGATGGAGTCTTGGGTCCAAATCATGGTTAAGTAAGTAAAGAAATTAAGGAAAACCATTTCTTTTCTGGAGATGACACGATTACATGGCCCAAAACTTGAATGGCATGAGGTTTAGAACAAACATCTGCCATAGGTACTATTCACGTACATTTCCTAATTCCTAAATTCCTAACTCCGTGTGAAAGAGCAGCATATCAAGTTTGGAGGCCACTCAAACTTGTACCTGTCTCACCTCCCTACCCAACGCAGCTGTCAGTTTCCCAAGGCTAAATCTGATTTTCTGGAATCTGCCTTATATCTAAAGTTCTAAAGGATAAGAGGAAAGTACAGGAGACATCAAAACAGATGACCAATGTTCAAGACCTTGACTTCTGGCAAAACTTCCTAGATTACATAATCAGATAAACTTAGATGAGAAAAAATACTGCTTTGTTCCACGTCTAGAAGCTACTTGCTATTGCAACTGTCTCTCATTTCTTTGGTTGGATGAATTGCAATCCTTTTAGAAGATTTTCAAATGGATTTCCCTAAAAAAATCCCAAGTGAATTTATAACACTATTTTCTTTGGAAAAGGAAAAAACCATCTATATTGTTGGCATTTAAACATATATATATAAATGAAGACTGGAATTTCAAAGCAAAACTCATGAACTTATACGTGCCATATAAAGAGGAACATGAAAAGGCTAATATTTTTAAGTCTCTGTATATAGACAAAGAAATGGAGTTTGAAATATTTGGGAGAAAAATTCCACATGCAAGACAGACATCCAAAATGGCTCAACATAATTTATTTTTTTTTATGTTAAAATGTACAGAGTTCTTTTGAAAGTACTTGCTAGAAAGGGGAAAAAAAGTGATATTACATACAAGGAGAGGAAGGGAAACCAACTGGCCCAGGAGCGCATGACATGGAGAAATACAAAGGCATCTAGGCACCCCTTCCCCTTAGCTTACAAGTCACCAGGAACGAAGTACAAAGAGGTTACAAAACAGGAAAAGCAAATATAAACAGACAGGAATAGACTCAGCTTCATTTGTACATGCGGCTTTTAGAGGCATCTGGAGCTCTATTCACACACTCTAGAGATCTCTTTAAAGAGAATTTTTATCTTTCTTAAAATAGTTTTTAATATTCTACAACAAAGATAAAAAATTTTAAAGATGGAATGAAATGAAAAAGCTCTTATTTTAAAAGGCATCAAAGTCACTAACAGTGAGTTTTTAAATTTCTTTTTTAGAAGATTACCCAAGTTATCTTGCTAAAAATACATTTTTTTTTAAACAGAAGTGAAAAAATGACAGGTACCAATATTACTGTGTTGGATAATTTCTTTTATAATATAGAAAAGAACATTTTCTCTATAATAGTTCTACAGTCACAAAAAGGCTTGTGGAAAAGGGAGCTGCCCGATTGAATTTTTTTTTTAAGAAACAAACAAAACCAAACACAACCGCAAACCAACAGAAACTGAATTCACGGCCCTCATTTCAACAGCTTCTCCTTCTGCCTTGACCCACCCTCCTCCCAATATACCTCCCTCCCTCCCGACCCACCCCATCCCCACCCCAACCAGGAAGCAATGACAGAGCTGAAGATGTAGGCAGAGGGCAGCACAGTGCACTTTCTACACAGATGACTGGGAACTGGAACAGTATATACAGAGAAACTGGGTCCTACACAGCCTTGCACATGCTCAGAATTGATAGCGGTAAGATGTGGAATTCTGCCTTTTTCTATCTAACACATTTAATTGAGAAAGTCAATTAAAGTGTATTAAAAAAACCAACAAACCTGTGCATTTGAAAAAATTTAATGCCTAATTAGTACTTCAAAAATTTATCTATATAAAATGTACAAATAAAGGAGAGTATTTAATGCTTACAGGTATTTCTTTAAGCAGTACTTCCCCCTTTTGGATATTTGACTGCACATACCAAGTGGTATAATAGTTTCCATCTTCTAATGATGGAACATATATATATATATGTGTGTGTGTGTGTGTGTGTGTGTATATATATATATATATGTGTATATATATATATATATATATATATATTTTTTTTTTACCTATCCCTGGAGCAAGTAATAGGAAGAGAATGGGCAAACTGGCTGCACAAAAGAAAATGGAATTGGGAGTAACATAGGAGCCGGCTAAAACCCTCTGTCCAGATTTGCCTGACTATGCTGGTGGTTGGTTTATCCCTCTTCTCTTTAGCCACTCACAGGAGAGGGGCTGGTGCAATCTGATTCACAGGGGATGAACTCAGGATCTCAAAAGACAAATGAAAACTAGAGGTATGTATCATTGAAGTAGCTATAAAACTCACACCATGATCTCCCTCACGACACACATTCTGCATCATCTCTTCCAACATAAAGTAAACAGTGTCAAAGGTTTGTCAGGTATTTTTCAAATCACTGAAATGTACAGTCATCCACCAACACTTTATGTAAGAATGGAAGAGGCTAATTACTGGGGACTGCTGTTTGAGTTTAATTAGAGTCAAAGGCTCAAGAATCAAGACCCTTAGCATCTCAAAGTACATACTGAAAACAAGAGGCTGCGTGGAATATGTGCATTATGGCTGATTCACCAGGTGGTAAAAAGCAAGAGGTTAATTTCCTCTTTTTTGATTGTTAATTGATCATCTCTATCCCTCCAAGGATGAATTAGGATTGCAAACAGCTTTCCTCTGAGATTCTGCTGTTAATTGAGACTTACAGTATTTTTGTGTCTCTGAGTGCTGAGTGGGAATAGTAAAAAAACAAAACGAAAATTATATTACACTTGATTTAAGAAAAACATTTCAATGAAGTCCATCTATAAAGAAACATTCTTGGGGAAAGGTTTCAAGAGGTGCGTGTGTGTGTGTGTGTGTGTGTGTGTGTGTGTGTGTGTGTAGGGAGTGGAGGGGATTTTAAAAGGAGAAGCATTTTCCTGCCTCACTTTCTTAATAATAATAATAATAATATTAACAATAATAATAAGTTTAAGGAGCTTGGATTGTTCTCCATGTCCCCATCCGAGTCTCCCGTAAGTGCCTCCTGCTGGAATGAAGTAGGAAATGAAAGGTTGGGTTTGGAGGAAAGGGTCTGGTTAATCCTCGAGATGTGTACATAACATTTAAAAATGACAACATTGGGAGCTGCAAACAGTGAGGAGAAACACACATCTGAAAATAAAGAGAATTCACTTTTACACAAATTCTGTCCACGTGGTGTGTAAAGAAAGTAAGGCTCTTTTTAATTATGAAAAGATTTTGTGCATGTTTCCCCTATCCCCAAATCCATTTTTAGATGAGTTCTATTGTAAAATGTTCAAGATTGTGAAGAAAACCAAAACCCAGAACAAAATGAACCCAAAAAAAGAGAAGACCAGGTTTTCTAAAAAATAAAATAAACCAAAGAAAAATTCCTCTAAATCTACAGCAATATTTTAACTGGAAAAAAGGTCCATTTTTCTCTGGTTTGTCAGTATAAAAGGTTCCTTTATTTATATATATTTAAGTTTTTAATTGCAAGTTCATCTTGCTCATCTTCTCATGTAAGGTCCATTGAGTGACTGCTTGGGCACACCAGCAGCATTCATGTAGCTGTGATGGGAGGGGCCAGTGTACATCATGTTTCCATGAGGGTTTGGCTGCATAGGCTGCTGGGTATAGGCCTGGCTCCCCATCATCCCCATCTGCATCTGCATAGGATACTGTGCTGTCTGGTTCATGTAAGCAGGGTTACTATGGTAACTGCTGTTCATCATAGGCTGTGTCATTCGATAGCTGTTCATGGCATTCAAAGTGTTCATATTCATGGAATTGACATTATAGGCAGGGGTTGGCATTAAATTAACCCCCATGTTCATGCCACGCTGAACGGCCAACGCACGAGGGCCAGCCTGCATGGCCACCGCTGGTGGGCTGCGGCCATACAGCTGCTGCTGGTGAGCAGCTGCAGAGGGCAGTGGCGCAGATTTGGAGCGGATGGAAATATGCCCCTTGACTGGCATCTGCCCCTGCAACCTCTGAGTGTGAGGAATGCCAATGTTGGTGGCAGACATGTTGCACTGTAGCAGAGGTGACGTGAGGTTCATGGTAGTGGATGCCAAGTTTGGGGGCGGTGTCATGGTGGCTTGTGCTTGAGGGGTTCCCGCTAATGGATGAGACGGAGCTAGCTGAGCCAGTCCTGTATTAGACAGAGAAACACTGGTTGCATAGGAAGTCACAGCAGGAGAATGGCTATAAGGCATGGCATGAGGGTCCATAATGGTGTTAGTCAGCTGCTGCAACTTGGCTAAACTGAAGGTGGCTGACGGTTGAGAGTAGCTGCCGGCACCAAAATCCCCTGGAATCCTCTCATAGATACTTATGTTCCCAGTGCTTCCAGATTCTGGTATCTCCATTATCATAGGCGCTGGAGTGAAACTGTTATTCATACTACACTGTGACAGGGGGGGCTGCTGCGGGGGTGGGGGTGGGGGTTGAGGCTGCTGGGGCTGAGGCGGCGGTGGCTGCTGCGGCTGCTGGGGTGGTGGAGGCTGTGGTGCTGGTTGTTGTTGTTGTTGTTGTTGTTGTTGTTGTTGCTGCTGCTGCTGCTGCTGCTGCTGCTGTTGCTGCTGCGGTGGTGGCGGCGGCGGCTGCTGCTGGTTACTAGGAGGCCTCTCCACCACACAACTCTGAGGTGACTTGATGTTGCAGTTGGTAGCAGGCTGGACATTGTTCTGCTGTATCATGCTGCAGCTGTTGCCCATGTTTGCCATTTGCTGAGTGACAACACAACTGCTCTGGGTGAGGCTGCTGGAGGATGACAACCCACCATAGGAGCAGCTGCTCTGGGAAGAGTTATTCCCACAAATGCTGCCACCCATCGTGGAATCATAACTGCTAGGGTTCTCATAGTTTTCTGTGGTGCTCTCGATGCTGCCCAGATCACTGAAGCCACTGTCTACCACCTGCTGAGAGTGGTCTGATACGGAAGGCACATCCATCATGGGGCTGGTCTCCATGTTCTGCATAGAGGGTGCGGACAGGGATCCTTGTTCTGGGCTGATCTGGGTATAACCACTTTCAAGGGCAGGCACATTGGGACTGCTGACTGAACGGACGGACTGGCTAGGATGAGACTGAACAGAAGATATGGGACTATTATGTTCTGAAGCCTGGCAGTCTTCAACCATTGACATCTGAGGGTCTTCATCAGCCTGGGTATAACTCTGCAGGGTCTGACAAGCTGCCAGAGTCTCTTCACAGTCCTGGTAGGCTCCCTCATGCTCATTGCTTTCTTCTTGAGTCAAAGATTGCACTGCTTGCACGGTTTCCAGATCCAGTTCACTATGAGGAATCTCTTCTTCCTCTTTTAACTCAATTAATTCTTCTTTAGAGTTTGAATCTTCTTCATGATCATCCTCAGACCCTGGCATATGCTCCGATACCACTGATGTTTCATGGGAAGTCTGCTCCTCTTCAGAATCTGGTTCTGTTTCATCTTTATCCTTTATATTCTCCCTACTGCTCTGCATACTAGTATCTAAAAAAGACTCCTGACCACCAGGCTCCTCCTTGACGTCTTCTCTAACAGGCTGATCCTCTAGCTCTTTTATCTTTGTAGACTCCAGATGACCGTCATCTTCATCATCTGCATCATGGTCTTCATTCCGGTTTGTTTCCACAGTCACTTCGTCCTCCTCCTCCTGCTCCTGCTCTTCCAGTTCTTGTTGCTCTTCCTCTGACTGCCTCTGTTCTTCTAGGCCACGGGGTTTCTCTTCTTCCTCCTCTACCTCAGGTTCTTTCATTTCTGTCTCAGGACTATTGCTGCTATCCACTGGAGAAGCCGCTCTAACTTCACTGCTGGTTGTATCTTCTTCTTCTCCCTCTTCAACCTCTTCTGCTTCCACATGCATCTCTTCTTTCCTGTCTTCAGTTAAAGGCAAGTCTTCTTTTGGTTCAACAGTTTCTTCATTCTCTTGAATTTTGGATTTACGTCCAGGTTTAGGAATGGGGACAATGGGCTCAACAATGCATTCTTGAGCAGAAACGGGTATGATTTCCCGATTCAATTTAAATCCTGGTTTGCGACCAGGTCTTTTCTTCCAGTGGATTGGTTTGCGGCTCTTGCCTTTGGGCCATCCCTTTTTCTTTTTCATAGGCGTGGATGTATCTGGCTCAAGTGGAGAATCCTTCACATCACATTTTCTCAAGAGAGATACTGGCTTTAGGATAGGAGTATCTATACAAGAGAGATAAAAAATAATAATAAAAATAGGTTACACGATCTAGTGCCTTTTTCTGAGACTACATGTACAACAGACATGATCTTATTAATCATCACAAACTCCTGATTATCTTTCAAGTTAAGAATCTAAAGGAGAAATCTAATTAACAACATCTTCTAAAGTCACATAGTGAATTGGCAGAAAAATCACAGATTCCTGGTCAACATTCTGCTACCATCCACTAGTTAAAATCAGTTCAAGTTGGGGCTGGCCCCATGGCTGAGTGGGTAAGTTCGTGCGCTCCACTGCAGGTGGCCCAGTGTTTCGTAGGTTCGAATCCTGGGCGCAGACATGGCACTGCTCGTCAAGCCACGCTGAGGCAGCGTCCCACATGCCACAACTAGAAGGACCCACAACGAAGAATACACAACTATGTACTGGGGGGCTTTGGGGAGAAAAAGGAAAGAATAAAACCTTAAAAAAAAAAAATCAGTTCAAGTTTATCATCACCATTTGTATGGCTTTGGGAAGTTACTCTAAGATTCAGTTTCATTATCTATAAAATGGAGCTAAGCTTTATAAAGATGCAAATACTAAGTAGTTATTACAGCTACTTTAGACAAGTTGCCTTTATTGTATAAGTTACAAATTAACTCATTTCTTCTCCTTTTTTTTCTGTTTGCAATTTATATTTTCTCTCTGGTTTTCTTAGTTTCTATAAAATCATTACTTCAGGTAGTAACATAAGCCAATTACTCTAGGCCATGATTAAGCAATCCTACGTGAATAATTGATCAATCAATGTCGTGTCTGTATGGGAATAACTGCAGGGCATTTAGTCTTAGACAAATATTGACCTGAAGAAAAAGTTAAAGTACCAATGACAACGGTTTATTAGAAATAAATTTGATATTATCATTATTTCTTCCCCATTAATTTTTTCTATTTTAAAAAATTGTAGTTAAACATACATAGCATAAAATTTACCATTTTAACCATTCTTAGGTATACAGTTTGGTGTGACATTAAAGTACATTCACATTTCCCATTAACTTTTAAAAGGAAGAACACCAAAGCAACAACAGGATTTTGGGCAGAGAGCTAAAAAGGTATAGTAGCAGTAATAACTTGAAAATAAACACAGGAAATGGCTGCCTCAGAGAAAATTTGTGCAAGTCAACAGGAACTTAAACAGGGGATACTATTTTAGTCTACGATGATCCAAGACAGAATTTTACAAAAGTGCCAAATTTACAGAATAAATTTTTAGTTATATATCTCAAAATATAACATACATAAATATATATAAGTATAAAATATAATAAAACTCTGGAAAATCATTCATAATAAAGCAAAGAACTCAGCCATCTTATCACTATATTAAAAGTGTTTATTACGTAAAAATATGAGAATGGAGAAAATGCAAGTTATCTACTAGATTTGAAATTGAGTGAATTGATTTTTAAAAGAAGAATAAAAAGCTACATAAAACCTATAGGTTTATGTACTAGAGGTGGACAACTAGATTCCCTCAAATTCACCCAGCAAAGTAGAAAAGTTCAGTTTGACCTCATGGAAGGCAAACACTGTAGTTGCCAGGCAGCACAACACACGGGCAAAAACTTGAGGCTAGGATGCAAATGACTAATTTGTGACCCAGCTCTTATGTGAACCTCAGTTTCTTTATCTCTAAAGAGGAAATGACAACAAGGCTATTTTAAAAGTAAACCATTGAATTTTTTGCTATGCTATAAAATTTAACCTATTTTGAGGTATTGTTACCATTTTTATTAGAAATTTACTACCTGTTGAGTAAGACACATTACAGAGATGATTCAGGAAGGAGTCCTGAACAGGTTTGAAGCAAGTCCAATTTACGTGAACCTGATCTTACTTAAGAACCATCTTCTCAGCATTTACTTATTTAACAATATTTACTGAGCACTTATTTTAAGCACTCAGCATACAACAATTGGCAAAACAGCTTAAGTCTATAGAGTGCACATTCTAGGAAAGAGTTGTTACTTAAATATCTTCCTGATGCTAAGTCCAATCTACCCATTAACTAAAGATTTAGATAACGGCCGAGAAAGGATTAGGCAAAAAAGAACAATTTCCTAACAGCAAGGTACTTTCCGGAGAAGCAAAAATAGGTCCTGAGTTGAAGGGGAAACTAGAAAAAAGCACTTTAAAAGGACAGAGGACTAAGTGAGAAAATGTAGATGAATATACTTGATACAACTTTTTAGTGATCACCAAGTTGTCCTTTACTGGCTTAGTGGGCTGTGTTCATTTTTCAGCTTCTTGGTGAAGGGTCTGCAGCTATCACTGCTGTATCTTTACAGACAATAAAACTACACTAAGCAACAGTTCTGTAAAACATACCATCAGCATCATCTGACTCTTCATCATCATCTTCATCTTTCGACTTCCTCTTAGAAGAGGATCGACACCTGAGAACATCCTGTGAGGACAAATGACGGAAGTATCCTCTAGAGAAGAGTTCATTTTCATCCTCTTCCTCTTCTTCTTCATCAATCTCAAACGTGGGTTCTAACCTTGGCATCGGCCTCTCAGAGTCAGAGTCTTCAAAAGGCTCATCCAATACCTCTGTAGTTTCAGAGATAGTTTCTGTGACCACACTGCTATTGTGGTGTTTGCGCTTTCGGACTCTCCTTCTTCGGTGAAGAATCGGTTTCTATTTAAAAGCAAAAAGTATTTTATTTACAGTAACGAACACTATCATTTCCATTAATAATATGATTAATAGTTTTAAAATCTAATAGAATTAGCATATATAAAAGGAGGATGCTATCTGCCAAAAGATATTTTGGATATTATTTCAAAATACTATGTAGTAAGACACTATACACAAAGTATCATAGATACAAAGATGTTGGATAATTAAATACAGCTTTGTAAAAGAACAAGCAGGCATGCCCAAAAAGCAGATATTATAATTCCCTTATTAACTGTTCAGTTCAATTTAACACCCTAGGGAGCTGCCTATTTCAGTACTGTAAGGACACAAAGGCAAGTTCCCTTAACTTATCTTTTCCTCAAGAGAAGAAAAAGAATAAAACCCTTTCTGTTCGTTTCATAGCTCTACTATGAAGGTCAGCAGAACTATCAGTAAAGCTATATGCCATTTTCATGAGCTATCCAGAAAGAGTTACAGTGGAATGTAGCCAATATGTATTTACTTGATGTCACGGAAGCATTTCCAAAGTAAAATAAATATGTTACTGAAACTTGGCACATTAGGCACAATTCTGTACTAGACTTGATCGAATACCTTAAACCACACAACAGATGACACAAAATAATAAAGCTGATGCACCAGAAATGATCTAATCCCATCTCCCTCACTCTATAGAGGCCAGAAAGGTTACAGGACTTGCTTAAGATTACACATCCAGTCAGTATAGAAATGGTTGTAAAATGTAGTTTCTGACTCCCAGTTAAGCAAATTTCTTCAAGAACTTAAAAAATACGTTGTACAGGATCCCACTGCCTGTCACAACATTCTCTTTCTTACACAGGGAAATAGCATAATTTTATTTTATAAATAGGCAATATAAACCTAGGATGGCAAAGATATACTCTTCATGGTCATGTAATTAACAGCAGAGTTACTCAGTGTTCAGTTTTTCTCCACTTCAAATTTACCAGTCCTTGGTTGAGAATACAATTTTCAAACTAGGTTAAACATGGCCCTACTCTTTGGAGAAATGGCTGATTATTAGATTGAGGCATGAAACACAGAAGTGGAAACTACAACATCTTGTAGTACCAGCAAGTAAGGAAGTGCTCAAAACAAAACAAAAAAACCCCCTCACAATGGTGAGGGTATGTATGTTACAGGGACACAGGGGCAAAACTGAAAGAGTTCCCAACAGCCAAAGCTGGAGCAACTGGAGCAACGGATTCAATAAAGCAGAAGCATTGGATCCTAGCTCAAAGTACAAAGTAAACATGTGAGTCCACACTGAGGGAAACAAACGCCTGAAGAAACGCATCGACGAGGGAGAACGGATAAATCTCCCAGCAGAACTCCAGGTAACTAACACAGATATTCTGCTCTTAAGGAGCAGAGCACACCTCCCCATATCTTAAGTGTGGGCTGTGGACAGTGACTTTCTTCCAAAGAGTACAGTATGGAAATGGGGGAAAAAAGAGTAACCTTATAGTAGAGAAACCGGACAAACACAAGTTGAAGCCAGGTGATTGAGGTTAACATCAACAGTGAAAAGTCACAGTGATAGTAAACACCCTTGTATCTGGTACACAGACCTTTACTGAGAGTAGATACCCTTTATATAACGTGATGAGAATGGTACTTTACCTCTGTGGTCTCCTTCCCAAAAAACACATTACCCCATTCTAATATCATGACGGATTCTATAAAATACCTAGCCAGTACTCCTCCAAACTGTCAAGGTCGTCAAAAACAAGGAGAAATTGCCACAACCAAGAGGAGCCTAAAGAAATAAGACTACTAAATGTAATGTTTGCTGGATGGGATCCTGGAACAGAAAAAGGGCATTAAGGAAAACAGAGGAAATCTGAATAAAGGATGGACTCTAGCTAATAACATTTCTGACAAATGTACCATACCAATATAAGAAGTTAGTAATAGAGAAAACTGGGCATGCAGCATACAGGAACTCTCTGTCCTTTCTTTGCAATAATTCTGTAAATCTAAAACTGTTCTAAAATTCAAAGGTTCTTTTTGATAAACAGCCCTACCTCTTTTCTTTAAGGCTCTGCTAAGGAAAGGAACGATTTTATTGCTTTGGACCAAAGCTGTCACCCTACTACTCCACAGTGGCTCGTCCAGGGAGCTGACATACTTTAGACTGGCTGGCTTGTGGCAACGCTTAAAGTTCACTCCACAGCCTGGCATATTTCTGGTATACAGTTTAAGAGAATTCATTATCACCATCACACAGCATTTATTAACAAACTGGCTATCATTCAAACTTTGAAAGATGATGAAACATAGTTTAGAAAATATCTTTAAAACAAGGTTAAGTCAAACCACTGGGGGGGTGAAGGGAAGAGAGAGAAGGGAGGAAAGCGTACACGGAAGATAGCACTGTCCCAAAGAGCATGAATGGCTTCACCCTCCTCACCCCCACAGAGGGCACCATTATGTCCACTCTCCATCAGACTGTGTAATACTTTCCTCTCGTCTTCTAATATAAACACTTCTTAATCTGTACACACTTTTAAAATATTTTAAAAATCCCTAAAAGTCATGACTTGAACATCAAACCAGCAAGCTGAAAAAGTTGTCAGTACTTAAATAAGCTTAAGACTTCAAAATTAACTTCCATGAACAAAAGAAGTCACATACACATTTCAAATGTTCAGTGAGAAGACCATAAGCTACAATATACTGAGACAAAGTTTAACAAATAACACACTTAGCATTTCTAAATTACTCTTTCCACTCTAGGACAGGACACTAAATATAATCAGCTGCAACTGGAGGAAGAGAAGACGTGTCAAAGAAACGCCTTACCTTTCGCTTCAACGTGGGCTTCGTAAGAACTGGCGGGGAGGTGGAGCGGGGACTTTCTGGCTCTTCTTCCTCCTCGCTGCTCTCACTGAAGCCCCTGAGGAGAGCCCTGTCGCCATCACTATAGCGACGGGGCAGTCCGTCATTGCCTTCTGGGAGCCGACACTTCAGGGCCGCGGGGCTCTTCTTCAGCTGTCCTCGCCAGAGCTCAACCCCCTCACTCAGTCTTCTTTTGGGGATCTCTGGCTTCCCATCCTGGCTCGGCTGCTCCTGAGAGGCTGCCAGCTGTTCCTCACTTTCAGTGTATTGTTCTTGGGAGGTTTCCGATTTTTCCTCATGTTCTCCATATTGTTCCTGAGGAGCTGATGTCTCTTCCAAGAGCAGTTTAGAATCTTTATCATCAAAACGTTCCTGGGTTTTTCTGTTCTTCCTCCCCCAGCGGCCTCTCCGAGATGGCTGATTATTCGCAGGAAGAGTATCGCGGGGAAGGACTTGTTTATTCAAACGTGTAGAACTAGCTGGTGCCATAACTTCTGGTTTCTTTTCACTTTCTACTGAAGAATAAGAATCTTGTTCTTTATTCTCCCGAGATGCAGACTTTCCCACCTGATTTTAGAAAATAAAACCATGCTGGTTAATTTTTCAGTCTCATTTGGTTTTATCTCCTATTCTTACCTTTTAAATACCGACACATAATAAAGCTTTAAAAAAGGAAATTACTAATTATTTAATAGCTAACATAAATATTTCTTGTTAGCCACTGTTTTAAATGCTTTATAGGTTTCAATTAATCCTCACAATTGTATGAAGTGTTATTATTCTATCCCCACTTTACAAATGGGGTAACTGAGGCACAAAACCTCTAAGGAACTTGCCCCGGGTCATGCCCTGGCAAATGTGAAGCTGGGATTAACCCAGCAGTCTGACTCAAGAGCTAGTGTGCTCAACCATCACGCAACACCATCTGCAATCAACAGAGTGAGTATTAACCGTTCTTAGAAATGTTAAATGAGAGACGTTATGAAATTTCTGAGGAACAAAAATCTAAGAGAGAAGAGGTGAGCTTTGGGGCATGGGCAAGAGAAAGGGGGTGTTTGAAAAAAATGAAAGAAAATTTCTGTCATTATTTTGATTTATTTTTATTCTGAATATTTAATTTCATTTTGAAAAGTAAGTTACATTAAACAGGGGCATGAAACTGTTTACGTTTGTCAAAGGAGGACAGATTTTTAAAGGATGAAAGTGCTGCTTCCAAACAAAAAGAACAGAGAAAGGCATGCATCACATGAAGAAAAATACTGAAAACTACACAATGTAGTATCATCCCTCATTAACCCTTTAATGACTAAAGACATTTGGGTACCCACTGAACTAGTTAGTGCTCTACGAGAAAACATACACATGTTTACAATATTTCCTTAATGTTTTAGTTTAAGGAAAGTGTATCTTCATTTCTTTTTTAACAACAGTCAGATTTAGATTCAATTCAGATTCCTCAATTACTATACAGCTTAAAATTTAGTTGCACATTGGCAGTCTGGTTAGACACATTGAGTCATAAGTGACCCATTATAACAAATTTGAAGGTCTAATCATCCAAGGCTTAAAAATATACAAATAAGTAAACAAAACCCAGTCTCTCTGAAATTTCTATTATTGAAATAAACTCTGAAATTCTAATGTGAATTTACTTTGTTGGGTGACGATATCGTAATACATATCACAAACACCCATGAAAACCAAACATATATCCTCCTGTCATCGAATAGAGGCTACTCATGCCCTCACACTCGCCTCTGGGCCTCTTTCCCGGCACTGCGGCTCTTCACTGTCTCCTTCCTCAGCCTCCTCTTCCTCCTCCTCTGAGACGACAGAATTAGAGACTATGACGGGAGTCCAGCGCAAACATTCTGGATCTACATCTACAGGTCGCAAATTCAGCTGAAGCTTTGCCATGTGATCCTGGATAAGTTTTTCCCGGCGGATAATCACAAATCTGGAACCAGACAAAAGTTTATAACAATCAACGATGTACAAGGAGTACCTAACAATATGGAGCTATAACCCCAGAAAACCCTGGAGATGATGATAAATGCTTCAAAAACAGCTTGCCTGGGAAGATGAAAAGAGAAATACACCACCACACGAGACAGCTAAGAAATACGAAACTGGATAAATACTTCACACTCAACTATAGCAATGAACGAAGTTACTTTAACCATTTATTGTCTCACATTTCCCACCTCTGGAATTTCTCCAACTTTCCTGCACTCTCTCTCTTTCTCCATCTTTCTAGTCCAAATGCCTCCTTTCTTTGTGACCTTTTCCCAACCACTCTAGACAAGGGTGAGCTGTCTTTCCTTTGACCTATACTTCATTTTGTAACATTTGTATGGAAATAAATCATGGGACTATTTTATTTGACACTGTTTCTAAAATAGTTACTCCTTGTATAGGGAAGGAGCTCCCAATCCTAGAAAATAAAACATTAGTAGCTTAAGTCCAAAAGTTAGGAGGAAGATCAGAAAAACAGTTTAAAAAAATATGATACTATGGAGTTTCAAATATCACATAAAGGAAAATGATGTCTCAGGACCACCAAGTGTACCACTTATTTTAGTTTATGCCCGAGCATTGATAACTTGGCTGCCTGATCCGAAACCTCCACCTAATTACCTTTGAAGGCATACAAAGGGAGCGCTACTCACTGGTCACTACGGTAGTCCAGCATACGTAGGTGGTGGAGTGTGGACGTAATGTCTTGAGGGCAGATTCCAGTCAACTTGCTTAACTTCTTAATGCTGATTTGCTTGTCATTTTGGTGATAAAGGCACTCCAATATTACACTTTTCCAATAAGCCATGTAGGAAAGACGACCTAGATCGGATAATGGTTTCTCTGGAGACCCTGCTTGGCCTTCACGCTTTGATAACAAATAACCTAAAGAAACCCCCAAATCAGAAACATGTCAGAGAGCCTTAAATAGGCTAATTCAACAAGACAACAATCCTTTCTTCCACAACCAACCCAAGTATTATAAGCAATAATAATTTCAAAGGTAAATTCCTTCAAGAAAAAGAACACAATGTGCAGGAAGACTACATCATTTGTATCCAGTGAACATTACATTAGGACCACTTTGTCTACAGTTATAAATCACGGTAAAGTATTCAAACTGTTAAAAATCAGGACTTCATATTAACAGGCTGCATAATAAGATAAAGGCAATAATGATTTTTGTTTAACATGCTATAGGGAAAAAACCACCCTCACATGTTTTATTTGGACCACTAGATGGCAACAGTTATACCTGAATGGAACAACAGAAAAGAATGCCTTCATTTTTATGTAATCCTGTCTATTAAGTTTGTGGTTCTTCTGTGAGTGAATTAGATGACAATTCTTACTTCAACCAAAGATTTCCTCACAATCACCTACCACCCTAATTCTTGGTAAGCAAGAATGTCAGTATGAGGCTGTCACTGTGAGTGTATGGTGGTATTACTTTGTTTTCTTGTCTACTGCATGACTCTCAAGAACAGGAAAAGAACAGCAGAAACTCTAAGTGAAAGTACTGAAAATGGAGATGGCAGAAAAAACGTAGTTTTCTGTCACTGAAGAAAACTTTAAAAGCAGTCTAAGGATAATGCTGGAAAATATATTACATCAGGAAAAGTAAACGAAAAGAAATACTGTTTTAATATACAGTTTTAATAATCATAAAGACTGATGTCTGTATATCTCAAAAAAATGACTATTTCCCCTAACTTTGCTATTTAATGGCATAACATGTCCAATCATGAGTCCTATTTCAAAACAATACGTGATGTTAAAGGAAATAATCTGAGTCCCACCCTTTACTATGAATCCAAAAAGGCCAAGAAAATGTACAAAATAACCAAGGGCACACATTTCCAATAAAATATAGTCAGGAGTACAGTCTAAGGCCAAGCAGAATAAGCTTCAATGGTCCATATGAGAATTACGTTCTTAACACTGGCAATATAATCATCTGATATTCAGAAGGACTGTCTGTACCAAAATCCTTAGTTTGAACCATTATTTCTGAATGTATTCTTTTAAATATTATTTTTAGCAATATCTGAAAGAAAATATTCCCTCAAATATCACTATTTTATAATCAATATAAAATTTATTGCAAACATACATTTACTGTCTAAGAAAGATTATCAATGTCTAAAAAAATTCAAGTTCTACAACAACCTTTTTAGAATTGTTAGCTTTCAAAATTTTTAAGTCAGATTAAATTATTTCCTGTATCCTTTACTTTTGATTTCTAAAGGTGCACTGCATATTTTTAACCACTAGGTAGAGCCTGACACTAAAAAACGATGAAAACATTTTCTCAGATAATTGGGTAACAAAAATAGGGCAGGTGCTATACTTTTTTTTCCCCTGCTTTTTTCCTCCCCCAAACCCCACAGCACAGTTATATATTTTAGTTGTGGGTCCTTCTAGTTGTGGCATGATTTTTTTTTATATACTTCTTTATTAGTACTAATTTAAGAGGTTACAATTTTTTTTTAATATTGTTGTGAGTTAAGATTACCATAAAACTAAATTCCACTGTAAATTAACAGTTGCAAATTAAAAGTATTTGCCATAGATCACTCAGAAGTTGGTATCCAATGTTAGCTATTTAAAAATATTTCATGTTTGGGGCACCCCACTGGCACAGTGGTTGAGTTTGCATGCTCCACTTCAGTGGCCCAGAGTTTGCAGGTTTGGATCCCCAGCATGGACCTAGCACCACTCGTCAAGCCACGGTGTGATGGCATCTCACATAAAATAGAGGGAGACTGGCAACAGATGTTAGCTCAGGGCCAATCTTCCTCACCAAAAGAAAAAAAATTCATAGCTTTAGGTTTTAAAGTCCCATACAGTAGTATGACAAAAGATGCTGGCAACCAATAAATCATCTGCAAATCTTTAAAAATATATATATACAGAAGGTCCACAGGAAGAGATAATAAGAAATTGTTATTATAATCCTTACTGAAATCGATGAGAAACCTGCCATAGCCCTTACGCTGGTATTGGGGAAGAATCATTATACAGGAAACGTTGTATTTCTGTTGGCAGTGCTTTTCCTGGTGGAGAAAATAGAAGCCAAGTTTTAAAACAACAGGCTGCTAAGACTGAAGAGTAATGCTAATTATTAAGAAACAAGGACTAACAGTCAAAACCACAGCCCTGGTCATTTGGGAATAACAACGCACATCAAGAAAAAAATACCCCACTGGGAGGAGATAGGACAACGTTAGGTCATTGCCATTACCCACAAAGCAACCATCCTGGGAGAACAAAAAATAAAATAAAATTATGCCATCCAACACCATCTGCAACACAGAAACAGTATGTCAATGCCTAAGATGAGCAGAGAAATCTGAGTCCCAACCAATGTGCAAAGCTACAAATGACGAGTCAATGTGCACTCTAGAAGTAAGAAGATTTGTCAACTATCTCAAAGTTTCTTTTATTTCCTGCTCTGTTGCTACATAGGGCAGGCCCACCTCCCTATTAGTTGTACCTAACTTTACAAATTTAACTTTTTAAAAATTTAAAAATATTTACAAAAAGTAGTCCCAAAATGTTGGGTACAAACACACTTATAAATCTGGCAATTTATTTCAAATGATGTTTAACTGTGGAAATAGCCTACTAACAGAACTCGTATACAGCCAGTACTTCACACTTACCTATTTTATACACTTAGATTTTACCACGGGCTTGCTTAAATAAAAGTATTTCTTTTACATTGTTTAACTACAAAAGAAACTTTTTTTCCTCCTCAAGAGAAAGGAAGAGTAAAGAAAGGAGAGAAAATATCCTTTAATAAAAACAGCTTCTTATTCTTATTTCTATGCCTAAAATTCAAATTAGGAAGGGAAGATTTAAACTGAGAAAGAAGTCAGAGGGGTAATGACTATGTTTATTTCACAAGTTCTACCTATTATCACCATGGGAATAGAAGTCATTTTAAAACTTTTCCTCTTGAGTATAACCAGTAGTTCACGTTCCTAGGAGAGTATATAGTCTGTTGAATGTTACTAGGCACCTTCTAGTACGTGGTATTCTGAACGTGCCTTCTATTTTCCTTCCCACAAAGCTAGATGGTACCAGAAGGTGCTGCAGCCTGTAGTGTCTCCTAGTGAGAACCAGCAGACTGTTTCAGATTTCCATAGGAATTCAAACTCATTTTAAGCTGATATACTTACTTTAGAAAAGTAGCCAACAAGGTGGCAGCCCTTGACATCATTCTGTGTTAGTACATAAAAAAGGAATGGCTCCACGTCATAATAGAGTGTTTTGTGGTCAAGAAACAACTTTGCCAAGAGACACAGGTTCTGACAATAAATGGTACTCACATTCCCATCAACCTAGAGTAAAAAAACAGAACAAAATGGTCAGTACGGTGTCTCTTTAGTTCTAGAATAGTACACATCAGTTATAAGCACCTCTGATTACCCATAGCCCAAAGAGAAGCTGTCAGTGATCAGAACCTGGAAACTACCCCTTGAAATGGAAGAATTATGGTACCTGCTATTTTAAGACAATTAAATGTATAAAACATTGTACGTCAACAAAGCATAAATAGCTAGACAAAAAGATGATGACCATTTAAAAAATAGCACTTTTTGCTTTTCTAGTAAGATTGATTACAGGAATCCTTCAGATAGTAAGCTGACCTGATCTACTTTTTAAAGTATTTAATTCAACAAAAGCTCTAAATACAACCTCTTCCAAAATACATTTGTTGAGTAAAACAAGGTATAACTCTAGTTTAATCTGTGCCAGCAGCCAGAAGCAATGTAGTCTGACTGCCATGATCAGATTTATCCCCAAATAAAGCTACTTGAGGGAGTATTAACTATTGTCAAAAGCACCAAGCATGAGAGATTTCTTGGAAACAGGTTGGCCAAGATCAGGAGCACTACACTATATTGCTCCTGATACCCCTTTTTCTCGGAGTTGCTGGAGCTTGCTCTTTTTTGAAAATGCCAAAGGATGCCCACATTAAACCTCAAGACATTGATATTTCAAGACTAGAACCTCCTCAACAATTTAAGTAATTTAAAATTACTTCTTTTAAAATACACACCAATACACGCTTAAATTGAGAAGCAATTTGCTCTTGAGTATTCTGAAACAATACTGTATACCACACCCTTCCTCCTCCCCCCAAGATGAAGAGCTCTTCTATTCCTCACCTAAAATAAAGGCTTAGGGAAGATCAAGAAAGTTACAGACCCAGTAGGTCCTGACAATGTGAAATTCTATCATGATAGTAATTAACAGAATTGAGCACATACATAGCAGGTACTCAATTAATACTTGGCAATCAAACCACAGAACTGAGGATTAAGAAATTAGAAAGCACTACTAACAAAAATAGAATCACAGACATAGCCTAAATCTATCATCATGATGAAATCAGGAAAACACATTAAGATTTACTACAGGTATTAAATACACCTCTACAAAATACTCCTTTAAATAGAGCAGTGGAATTTTTTTCATTTAAACACCGTATTTCATAGATCTAAGACACAATTTTATCATATCTAAAATATGTAAAATTAGTTGACATTTTGTAATCAAATGGAGTCTTATAAATCATAATTAGTACTTTTTCCTTCTTAGTGGCACATAAAATAAAATTGATATCTTTGATGCAATAAAATACAGAATAATTTATTCTGAGATCAAGCTTGTGTACTTGGTACCTTTTGGATTGGCCTAATTCTGCTTCTCATATAGCTGATTATCCAACTCAATAGTGAGTACAAGAAAAAGATAACATTTTCCAAAAAAATCAAGTTGCACAATTAAATACAGTACAGGAGGCACAGTAGTGAAATGGACAGGAAGACAACCACTAAACATCTTCTACTTTACCTCAAAGACAGAAATATTATTCTTTCTGTAAATCTCATTGGCAGGAGGATGGAACCAACCACATTTCTTCATGTGCTGCTGTAGAATAGTTCTACTTTTCATATATTTCAGACAGAATTCGCAAAGGTACAATTTAGGCAGCCTGTAGATAATAATTAAACAAAAAAAGACAGGGCTTTACATAAGACTTTAAACGTTCACAACTACTCCTTTTTTATTCTCATTACTAGCCAAGTATTGTTATCCCCATTAATCAAATGAAAGAAAGAAAAAAAAATTAAAGATGTCACTGATTTGATAACAGTCTCCAACTAATTAACAGCAAGAGGGCAGGGATGAGAAATCAAGACACTCAATTCAGTGCTCTTCCCATCAGACTAATACTGTCCAGTCTTAAGTTACCCGCTTGACAGATATGAAAATCTCACGTTCTCTCCTCCTTGATAATCTCAAATAAGCAGAAAATAAAGTCTACCTTCAGAACACACCCGTAAGTGAAGAAGATTTTGTCAAGTTATATATTCTTTCTCCCTTTATCAGATCGTTCCTTCATTCATTTCAGAAAATAAACATTTGTTGAATACTTGCTGTACGCCAGGCCCTGTGCTAGGTACACTAGGGACAGAGTGCTGAGTAAAATGGACATATAGTGAATATTACACAAGCAGATTTTGTGTATCTTTTTAAGTATAAAATTATATTATAATATTGGATATGTGTTTTTCAAGTTAGGACACACTACACTGTCTTCCCTCCCTCCTTTCACCCTGAAATTCTGGCTTTCCCGCTGGTTAAATAATCACATTAGATCTTGCAACTCAAAAGTCTATTATTCAACAAGTGAAATAAAAGTTCAAATTATTCTTTCAGATGTTCTCTGTTATTAATTTGTATTTATCCAACAGGCTTGCTATTTTAGCAGTAGTTTAACAGGACTTCTTCCTCATGTCCCTTTTATGAGGAGCAAGGCAATAAAGTTAAGTGATCAGGTCAGTTCATAAAGTAACAGAAGGAACATAGCCTAAATTAAAAACCAGTGGCTTTTATACCTATTTAGTCTGAATCCAGACAACCACATGGCTCATCTATTATAAAATACACACACCATGTATCCTCAGCACAAGACTTCCCTCAAGCATGAACTGTGTCCAGAGCTGGTCATGCCTTGGTAATCCGAGATCTGATACTACCATTAAAACTGGATGTGCAAATATACTGGATGATGTGATGACAAAAAATACAATCCAAATAAATTACTCTATCCCCCTCTCATATAAAGAAGCATTGAGACTGATGGAAATAAAACCCTCATTAATTTAGTTGCTACGCCTTTGGATAGCTATGCTTTAAAAAGAATACCCTGAAAAAGTAGATTAACACACAAAAATGTCTGATTTGTTAAAGTGTGAAGACCACAACTATTTTTTCAAGTTCTACTTTAGAAGCAGCTTTTGAAACACAATTATAATTATCTGAAAATATCTAACATTCAAGTAAAGCCTTTCTCAAAGTGTATCTATGGAACACCAGTGCTGTATGCGCCAAATATTCATGCTCAAATAAGGGTGGGGAGGGGGATGTGATTTTTTTTTCCTTCTCTCTTGGGGATTCAGAATGTGCATTAATTCTTCCTATATAATCTCACATCTTATTTTTAAAACTGCCATTCAGCACACTAAAAGCTCCAAGGAACCACTGTACTATGGTATTTCTAAATGCCTACTTTATGTAATAAGTGTTTTCCAAATATTAATATTAGTCAAACCAACACAACCTGAAATTATATCATTAGTACAAAAGTCAGTTCTAAATAAAGTACTGAATGAAGCAAGTAATTACTGACATTACAAATTGAAATCAAGAAGCAAGAGCCAAGAACATGGAAAAAGAAAGGTTTCCTAAGCTACTGTGCTTATTTCCTTTGCATGTTGCCTCAAACTCCACTAATCGGAGAAAAGAATGGCAGCAGGATAAATAGCTTTTTCCTTCTTTACCACCAGAAGAAAAAAAATCTCAAAATGAAATGGCCCCAATTATAAACTTCATTATCTAGTGTGGGCACTAGAGGTATTTTAACTGAGTCTCAAAGGTGACCCACAACTGCCAAACTGTCTTCCTGAATATCTTGATCTTGAATAATTTCTACTTAAAGGAAGGTGGAAGAAAGAGGTTCTCCCTACGTCAATGTAATTAATGGCAACCTTCTCCCCGCCATCTATTCTACTACTTACCTTTATTTACCTGTGCTAAATTCTCAATGAGTGACTTTAACTTGTTGCAACAAGATAAAGAAGAATCCTTGAGTACAGTTTCACTTTGAGAACTAAATATTACAACTAAATAGTCCCTATAATGTGAATCTGAGAAACCTAAACAAAATTATGCGCTTTTTAAAATATTAAGAAAGAAAAAAGCAAAGAAAGAACAACCAGTGACAGACCACTAAACTTTCCAGAAAAAAAGATAAATGCCAACTTTAAAAGCATGCAATTTAACTTTTAGGTCTCAGTACAAAGACATGAAAATAAAGTATAATTTATTTCCTAAGGTCTCTGAGAGAAGGCCTAATTTCTTTAAAGCTCTAGTAATAAGCAAGTTGTTCAAGAAACGTCAGAAGTGGTGAAATCCCTGAGAAAACTGCTGCCAAGTTCTATCTGGTAAATTATAAGTACTTGCTATGCTATTTCCTTGGAAATAGCAAGATGTATGGCATTTTATTCACAATTTTTAAAAAGCTGGTGAACCTTATTATATGAAAAATAATAGTAAAAGCAAGCATCATGATCTACTTTATTCCATTCAGTTCTTGCTGAAAACACTTAAAACCTCTTACTTTATTATAACCAAGCCCACTGGGATGACATTGTTTGTCTAAAGGGAATCATGTGATAAAATCCCTGGAAAAACAAAATGTTTCTTCTAGTAATAGCACAAATGGCTGCAGCTCTCTGAAAAAACACATCATAGAGAAAGAACATCATATCACGTGAAATGAAGTGTAGTTACGGGGGTTATGAATACTCCCAGCCCTAGAGAACACTGCTAGGTGCTGCTTTTTGTCATCTTCTTCCTGACAGCACCTAGGCCCTGACTATCAAATAGGATATGGTCACTGTGATCAGCTGCATCACGGGGTGTAGCCTCAATACTTGAAGTTTATTCTAAAGTTGGTCAATATTTTGTCACCTCAGCCTGTGGAGTCAGAACTGGGCTGCAGCTGTGTGTGCTTTGGAAGCACTGCTTCTCTTATTTCTAGGATGATGCAAACATCCTTCCAGGAATTCCTACAGTACCTTCTTGGCTTTTTAACATTACCCAAAATAGGAGCAGTCTGTGTGGCCTTTATAATAGGTCGACTTGCAGCAAAATTTTAATACCACAATAAAAATTCTATCAAATATTACTTAAATCAAAGGTTATGGTACAAGCCATGTGAGCTCAATCTAAATCAACAGATCTATCAATAGATCAACCTCTATGGAGTAGTGCAAGCACAGTGGTTAAAGGTTATAGCTGTGTGGTAAGAGAAAAGTAGGATTAAATCCTGGTTCTGCCACTTATAAACTGTATGGTCTTGAATATGTTTGCCAGGCCCTGGTCTGTAAAGTGAAGATAGTAACAGCCACCTCAGAGAATATTCCAGAGACGTTTAGTCCAGTACCAAGCTCAATGAATGGTAACTACAACTGCCATTATTTATGATTAATACTACGAATATCTTTATTCTCCTCTCATTCATTTTATTTCATCATTTAATGGTCATCCAAAGACCTTAAGGATGCCATTCTTCAGTAACTGGGGCTATACACAATCTATGCATCAAATCAAATCAGGAACAAAAGATCAAAAGATATAGGTAACTTGCTAAGCAACTCAATTATGTGGGAATCTGCCTTGTTAGGATCTCAATATGATCTCGTAGCATAGAGGTTATTATGAAGCTAAGCTCTAAACAGCTCAGGAGTAGAAGACATCCCATGATCACAGCTACTCCTGCCTTCAGCCCATCTATGTCATGTCTTTAATGGCAGAGTAAGGTTCTCTTTGGACCTGTCTGCCTTGTGTGAGCATCACATGGCCCTGTTGGAGAAACTCAGGGTTAAAATTAGGGTGTATACTCTTCAGTGTCTGAGGCTTAATCACACTGCTCCAAATGAAGTAGCATTACTGCTTCACTGCTGTTCTTTCACTTTTTTGTTTGTTTTTAAGCCAAAGATGCAAGACTACTTAAGATACAACGCACACATAAATAAATATCTGGATATTATGGGAGATAATAGCACAATCCCACTTTCCAAAAGCTTTTTCCTCTTGTGATCTTTTCTTTTCTGTTTGCTCCAATTGTCTTATTTTTGCATGCTTTGGGATTTGGAGTTTTTAACAAGTGCTTAAAACCTCATTATAATAAGAAAATAATTCAGAAGCAATTTATCACAGAATAATAAATAGTCATTAACATAGTAAGGATATAGGTTTATTATCTGGAAAACATAAGATCTCTAAACATTTTAGTCAACTCAAGTTTAAAAGAACTCAGAGTAGGGGCCAGCCCCATGGCCGAGTGGTTAAGTTCGTGTGCTCCACTTTGGCGGTCCAGGGTTTCACCTATTTGGATCCCAGGCGTGGACTCAGCACAGCCTGTCGGGCCATGCTGAGGCGGCATCCCACATAGCACAAACAGAAGGACCCACAACTAGAATATACAACTAAGTACTGGGGGGCTTTGCGGAGAAGAAGAAGAAGGAAAAAAGAAAAGATTGGCAACAGGTGTTAGCTCAGGTGCCAATCTTTGGAGGAAAAAAAAGAAAGAGTAAAACAAGCCGAAACGCATTTAAATAGGTATATGCAGTTTTAAAATGTACTTAAAATTATGAATACATAAATAGAAAAAACATCATACCAAAGAACCTATTAAATTACAGAATATTTTCTGATGAAAAACTCAGGGAACCCTCCACAATGGATAAGGAAATGTATAGAAAATGTCTGAAATTCTACTTAAACTTGGTGAATTTTACAGTTCCTATTCTATTGCTGCTTTCTATTATGATTCCTATTCTACTTTTTTGGTTATTCATTTTTCTGCTGGCAATGTTGTTTATTCCTTCACTGAAAACCAATTACCTCAAACCTAATTAAGAAATTAGGTGTTAAACCTGATTAGAGACCATCTTTTCAAAACAAAAAGCAACATTTTAATACCTTAAAAGACAACAGCCTCATGGCTCCATTCTCCTCATTCTCTGGAAAAGCAAGTGCTGAGGCTGGCTCCCTATTTCTGTCTTGAGTCAATTAATTTCCTGTCCTCCCCTTAAGTAGAAGAGACAGGTGCCTATAGTTCCAATCCATCTGCACCACAATCCCTAGGACAGCTGATAGACACACTGAATGAGCCTTCTTTTCTCAGTTGAGCATTCTTAGGAAGTGAACAGCTTGCAAAGAGTTCACTAAAAAAAATGGTAATAATAATATATTTTAAATCTGATGAAGAAATGCATTCCTCAGCATATTTCTTCTTGATCATACACTATCTTGCCTATCCAGAACTCCTGAGGAGTAAACTGCCTTGAATACCTGAGTTCTGTAGGTAGTTGAGGAATTTCCTGCTCTCTTTTAACATACATATATATAAAAAATATAATAATATATAAATATAACAACCTTTTTTTAACAAACTCAGATTGTTATTCCATGATATAAATAGAATGCTGCCTTAAAGATCTACCACAGTGTTTAGGACTAACTGAACCTATAATAAATGGTTCTCAATTACTGTGTTTCATGAGCTTGTGTGTTAATTTCCTGGAGTTTTGCTTTCTCTCTTTTTTGTTTTGTCACTGAGGTCTGTATCTGTAATAATATTCTCAATCTTATTTTTCTACTTCTGCTAGACTTGAAAATCACACAAGCAAGTTAAATTATACGGAAAGAAAAAGTAAAAAAAATAATGACTTTTGGTTTTTCAACAGCTTTTTGGAAATAACCCATATTAAAGCACTCTACATACTGTAAAGCACTGAACAGATTAATGTAGTTATAATTACTTTTGCTAATATTCTGGACAAGCAATGTTACTAGAGGGGTAAAAAGCCCTAGAATGAGGGTACTTTGAACGTGTTTAACCCATAGCACCGTAACTGATTATTCCTAACCACATCCTGCAAACGGGAACTGAAGCATAAGGAGTTCACAGATTAAAGAGAACGTTAATGTGACTGCTATACTTCAAATGATAAAGTAGTGTTTAATTTTTTGACCAAATCTTATTTTTCAACTCTTTTAATTTCAAGCCTAAAGGAAAAAAATAACAATAACTGACATTATTGGGCACTTACCATTTTCTAAGTGATTTACATGTTCTAATTCATTTCATATTCACAACAAACCCTACCCGGTAAGTATTATTATTATCCCCACTTCACAGATCAAGAAACTGAAGAACAGAGTAGCTGGGTAACTTCTAAGGTTACGCAGCTTATAGATGTCAGAGCTGAGTCATGAAACCAATTTGGCTTCACTAAGTATGCTGCTTCATCCCCAAAAGCTAATGACTGATCAATTTTTACATCTGGAAACCCAAGCTATTTATATATAATTTTATATGATTTGTCCAATTATTCCTGGGAAAACAAACCATTCACTAAGTTTGTTAAATTATAAAAATTTAAATAAAAGGCTACTCACTGAAACGTTATTTTTGGTTAAGTCTAAGAATCTCTCACTCTCTTTTTTAAAAATTCTTAGTGTGAGGTATGAAGGCAAATTTCTCTTAAAGAAGAAATGTCCCCCTTCCATTTTGACCATGTGTCAGGTTTCCAATCTTAAATAACAGCTTTTGGATAGGTTACAGAAAAGAAAATCTAAAGCCAATTGGGATTAAGTGGCTGCCAAAGTATGCTGCTATCATGGACATTTAAAAGCTACCAGTTTCCCCAAATGTAAAAAGATGAACTGGACTAATATGTCCCCAAGATTCCTTCTAGTGCTGGAGTTCTATGAATCTAAAAACAGAAGGTATAACGGTCTCTCAAAACATACCTTGAGTATTCTTGAGGATATGGGGAAGAGTACCAGGTGTGAATTTCATACTTCCCAAACTCAATGACAGAGGGACAGCGGACTTGTGGATCAGGGGGACCAGTCACTCCAACTTTCTGTGCAGTCAAAAAATACATTACAAAAGTTAGCTAAATTAAATACACTGAGATAGATAACAAAATGAACCAAAAAAATGATTTGAAACTAAACATTGTCTTCTCAGGATTCCTCAGGAGAACAAAAAAAGTCAGGAACAAGCTAACAAGTTTGGAAATAACCTGTATTATTCTCTCAATAGAACATCCAAATGAAGAACAAAAATGCCAATAAATCTCTTAGAACCAAATGCAGCTGATGTCACTGCATTTTTCATATTTGATAATACTGCAAATACTTTCTTCAACTAAACTCACTCCCTCGATGACTTGATTATTAAAGAGAAACTGCTGGCATCTGGGGATATCAGATAAAGAACAATTTTTAACCGGGAGAGGGGGGGAGTGCTGCACACTTGCCAAGGTCATACACAGAGTGTCTCAACTGACCACACGGGAAACGAGCTACTCAACATGCGAGCACATGGAGAAAACAATGATCTTCTGGTTTGGGAAAACAGACATTTAAGAGCAATATTAAAAGAATATGACAAAACAAGTATCAAAAGAGTCTTCAAAATTCATTTCACACTGCCCCTAAAATTTATTAGTTCTTCACAGATTTGCCCAAGATAAAAAAATACTGTTATACACACACAGTTATCCCTTTTATCTACCTTCTGTTTATAATGAAAACAATCTCTATGCCCCTCATCCCTGCAATAATCTGAACTACAGTATCTTAAAAAAGAATAACTTATAAAAGCCTTTATGACTTCTACACGAACAATACAATATAAGCTATTGCTAAAGACTACAAAGATCAGGTTTCAAAACCTTAAATTCAAGGGCAATTTGATTTGCTCTGCACCCAATACAGCAACAGACTCATATATACATACATGTATATGTGTGCATATATTATGTATATAATTATAATATATACAATATATATGTATATTTATCATGGATACTCTATAAACATTAACTGACTTAAGAGCTAGAATTTAGCCTTATCACCCACAAGTATTAATAATTCCTCATCAAAAGAACAACCAAAATTACTCTTCAACTTTATGCTCTAAAAACCACTGAGAGATTATTAAAAGTCCCTTGTTGGAGCCCATAAACACACATACACATCTTCTAACAAAACTAAAAAGATTTTATTCACTATTTTTATATAATTTCATTTAAGGAAAAGGTTCTTCACAACTCATTTGAAAACTCTCCCTGGTCTTTCCACCTGTTCCTTTTCATAAAAGGCCAAGGGACTCATCTCAGGTTTCATACTGGAATATAGCCAGGTGCAACCTCAACCTCTTCCTCAGACTCCTCAAAACAAAAGACAAACAGCTACGAGCTGGATAAACTGACTTATGACACCAAGGAGTATTGGGGCTCTTCCAAATACAAACATCACAAGGAAATACACAAGACAGGATTAAAATAAGATTTTTTCATTTCTCAAAACCAAAATAAAACTCTGTAAAAAGATTTTAAAAACATTGTTCTTTAAACTACATTCCAGAAAGAAGTATTCTAATTCATAAAGTAGTATCTTTTAACCTATCTTCACAGCTCAAAATAACAAGAACAGTGGTATAGAAAACATCAGAATAACCAAATATCAGAAACCAAATCTAACTTCCTGAGCCTACTATCAAGGAGGAAGCACAGAAGTTGAAAGCATGCACCTGCTGTGGCACTGCCTGTTGTCGGAGAGCTTTCCCATCAGCTGCCCGTCGCTCTTCCAGGTGGATGCCCAATGTGAAAGCAGATATCCAGTTCCAGTATAATTGTTTGCACATCACCACAACTCAGCAAGTCTGTGTAAAACTAGACTCAGGGCAGACTTCCCCGCCACCTTCACCTACCCTCACCTTCCTGCACTGTGAAGTGTTCTGGCACATGCGCTCACCTACCTCTGTCCTCCACCACCTCCAAATCCCTTGTGAAGGCCTCATGAGCCAGTGTTTCCGTTTGTTAAGGTTTAGAAGTTAACAAAGGCTTCAGGCACTGAGGAAGCAAGAGCTGCACCTAAGCCACTCATTAACCCAGTCCTTGCCAAAATCAAATTGTCAAATCTGAACTACAAGGTCACCTTTGCTAGATCATTTTATTTTTAAATTTCAGCCAAAATACTCTTTTATTAAACATGCAACTTTCCAAAGAAGCAAGAATCTAATATAATCAAGAGCACAAATAATTTTTAAAACTTTTAACTCCAGTTCTGTCACCTTGTTCCCTCCTTCTCATGTGAATATGCCATCTCTAAAAGATAACATACACTCCAGGCCAGAATAGATCTTTTAATCTAAGAAAGTAAGGGGGGCACTAAATGCACCACTAATTGGGCTAAACCGAAAGATAACTTAAATACGCCTATCTAGATAATTAAACTTTTATTACTAGCGGTTTATGAAAAAAGATTCTCTTCTGCAAAATCTCCACTTTCATTAAATGACTTATCTAATTCCAATTTCTAACATATACAAGCCACTCCTCTCAGAAGGAGAAGCTTCTCTCAAGTCCACATCTGGTACAAACATGATAGAAGCTACTCTCAAGTCCACATCTGGTACAAACACGAAAATTACAACTGCTATCGACACAGCACTGCTCCCTTCCCCTTGCCTCCATTAGACAGCTCTCCCTTGATCTTCCTTTTCCATTCTCCATGGGGGAATGACACTTTGAGGTGGGAGTGGAGGGTAGGACTGCATCCTTATTATCAGTATGAGAATGTGAAATCTGGGGAGAAGAGAAGTCTTTCTGGTGTTTGAAAATTTCCCATAGAAAGGTTATAATAATAATTCTGTTCATTAGGGATTAAAAGTTACATGACGAAAGAGATATGTAAGAATGAGTTCATCTGCTCCAATATGGAAAGAGCATCAACTTAAGGAATAAAGAGAATCGGTATTTGAGGAGCACCACAGAGCCAGACTCTGCACCTTATACAGTTATCTCATTTAATCCTCACAATCCATTCCTCAAAGTAGAAAACAATACGCCCGCTTTACAGATGGGAAAAAAAACATGGCTCAGAGAAATTAAAAGGCAAAAAACTCCAGGATAGGAATATCAAGAGTGAAGCATAAAGACAGAAAAGAACAAAAAGGATAGAGGTGAGATACGGCGTATGTGTAGTCCTCAACTAATGTTCTGAATTCCAAAAGTTTGTGTGTAAGTTTTTTTGAGCTGGAGCTTATTTTCCAAAGAAATGAAGTTACAAGTTCACACACTCTTATCTTAAAAGCCTTGGAACAGAATGCTTTGGAATCCTGAAATTTTCTGATATTGGAAAAGTATTACAGGGGCCGGCCTGGTGGCGCAGCAGTTAAGTGCGCACGTTCCGCTTCTGGCGGCCCAAGGTCCGCCGGTTCAGATCTTGGGTGCGGACATGGCACCGTTTGGCAAACCATGCTGTGGTAGGCGTCCCACACATAAAGTAGAGGAAGATGGGCACGGATGTTAGCTCGGGATCAGGCTTCCTCAAGCAAAAGAGACGAGGACTGGCAGCAGTTAGCTCAGGGCTAATCTTCCTCAAAAAAATAAATAAATAAAAAAGGAAAAAAAAAGAAAAGTATTACAGTACCTATATGTATCTTAAATCAACAGCCTCATTAGAATTTGGGGTAATACTCCACAGTCAGACACATTAATATTTCTTTAGCTAGGCAGATGAATATTCACATTAAATGGGATAAGTAAAGAATATATATACTTTCACATCAGTTCAGATCATGTTTTGCCAACAAAAGTTTAGGTAAGTGAGATCTTGCTGTAAAATGAGTTATAAATTTTTTTTTCATTCTCCAAAGAAGATATACAAATGGCCAATAAACACATGAAAAGATGCTCAACATTACTAATCATTAGGGAAATGCAAATACAAACCACAATGAGAAACCACTTCACACCCATTAGGATGGCTATCAAAAAACAAAACAAAACAAAACAAAAAACCAGAAAAGAACAAGTGTTGTCAAGGATGTGGAGAAACTGGAACCCTTGTGCATTGCTGGTGGAAATGTAAAATGGTGGAGCCACTACGGAAAACAGTATGGCAGTTCCTCAAAAAATTAAACATAGCATTACCATATGAACCAGCAATTTCACTTCTGGGTATATAAAACAATTGAAAGCCAGGACTCAGATATTTGTCCACCCATGTTCACAGAAACGTTATTTACAATAGCCAAATGGTGGAAGCAACCCAAGTGCCCATCAATGGATGAATGGAAAAACAAGATGTGGTATACATACACAATAGAATATTATTTAACCTTTTTAGAGCTTTTTTATTTCCTAAGAAGGAAAGTCTGACACATGCCAAAACATGGGAAGATGTTATGCTAACTAAAATAAACCAGAGACAAAAGGACAAATATTTTATGGTTCTACTTATATAAAGTAGAATGATGATTGCCAGGGACTGGGGAAGGGAGAAATGGGGCGTTATTGTTTAACGGGCACTGAGTTTTAGTTTGGGAAGACAAAAAAAGTTCTGGGGACGGATGGTGGTGATGGTTGCACAAAAACGTGTATTTTGTGTACAACAATGTACTTAATGTCCCTGAACCATATTCTTAAAAATAGTTAAGATGGTAAATTTTATGTCATGTATATTTTACAAGACAGCAGTCCCCCCTTATCCATGGGGATACATTCCAAGACCCAAAGTGGATGCCTGAAACCACAGATAGTACTGAATCCTACCTATACTATGTATTTTTCTATACAAACATACCTATGATAAAGTTTATAAGTACAGTAAGAGATTAACAACTACTAATAAAATAGAAAAATTCTAACAATATAGTATAATAAAAGTTATGTGAGTGTGGCCTCTCTCTCTCAAAATATCTTCCTGTACTACACTCACCCTTCTTCTTGTGATGATGTGAAAAGACAGGTCAGGAGGAGGATCATCTGCTTCTGGACCACAGTTGACCATGGGTAAGTGAAACCGCAGAAAGTGAAACAAGAATAAGGGGGCACTACTGTGATTTTTT